CCCTCCCCGCAGCCCCTAATGTCACCCTGGGTCCCTGGGTCGGGACCTCTTCATTTCAGCCTGCAGTCCCCCCCCCCCAGGGCTGCCTGGTGGGTGGTCAGCTCTCAGGAGGAACGAACAGGGAGGGACATAAACAGGCTTTGTTGCTGAGGAGATAATGAGGGAATTTTTCCTCTGGTTTTCTAAATACCCTAATCTGATCCGTTTTAATTGAAATTAAAAGGCCAGAGTTCACTTCTAGTGATGAGGACAGCTTTTCTTGTTTAGAAGAATTGCAGCCAATAAATGGAAATGGAATGAGGAAATTAGGGAATCACCAGATTGCCACCTCTGGTGAAGTAAAGGATTTGGCAGGAGCACCAGTGACCACTGACACCGTAGATGAAAGGTTGATGGGGCTTCGAGGTGCAATGTGGGAAATTTCATGTTCATCGACCCAGCTCCTTCTACAATTAGCATTAAAAAGGGGGACACAATGTGACTGTTAAAAAATGAATCCCATTAACCAGTGTGGGGACCTTATTTTAATCCTGATTTAAATGAATTGTAAAAAGGCATTTTTTGTGTGAATTTAGGGAAAACAGTATGGATGGTTATGATAGGATGAAGGAATTACAGTTTGTTAGGGACAATAAAGGTTTGGTTAATAAAAATCCTTTTTTACAGATATCTATTGAAGTGTTTACAGGTGATGTCTGCAGTTTGCTTCAAAAAGAACTCCACCAAAAAGTTTAGGGGGAATAAGTGACATTAGAATGGTGATGTGTTGATACCTGAAATTATGACTTTATTAACTTTTGAGAAAATGTTTTACTTTTTATTATGAAAAATTTCAAAGTGGGCAATTAGGAAGAGAATTAGGGATATTTTTGTCAGGTGGTTGAGGAGGAAATCATACATATTGATAATCTTGTTTTTCTTTTGTATAGATAGAAAAGGTTTTTAAGAATGGGTGCCGTGTCATATTGTTCCCAAATGGGACTCGAAAAGAAGTGAGTGCAGACGGGAAGACTGTCACTGTCACCTTCTTCAATGGTGACGTGAAGCAGGTCATGCCAGATGAGAGAGTGGTAGGTTTCCTCAGGGCTGGCTCTCCCCGCAGCTCCACACCTGAGGGGCACGCACAGTGACCTTGTGTCGTTACAGATCTATTACTATGCAGCCACCCAGACCACTCACACGACTTATCTGGATGGACTAGAAGTCTTACATTTCTCAAATGGACAGATAGGTGAAGACTTGCTCTGCCCTCTCCTTACTAAATTCTTCCCTTCCTCTAAAAATAAAATATTTATAGTAATCTTTTTTAAACAGAAAAATATTTCCCGGATGGAAGAAAAGAAATCACATTTCCTGACCAGACTATCAAAAACCTTTTTGTTGACGGAGAAGAAGAAAGCATTTTCCCAGATGGTACAATTGTCAGAGTACAACGGTATGGTGTCTGTTAAATTTATTTCTAGATTTTCCAGTTTTCATGGCTCAACTTGGATTACCAATTGAAGTTTCAAAATCTTAAAACATTTGTGTAAGTCATTCAGAATTTCAGGGAGTTTAGAAGTGAGCGAAAGAGACACTTTGAGAGCAGGAGAGTGTTTTCAGCATTTTGGAGTTAGAACTAGTATGAGATAAAGAGATTGTAATCTACAATCTTTAGCTTCGAGATTTAAAGAGCATCTAAACAGCACTTCAGGAGCAGAGAGTGGCGAGTATTTGCCTAGAAATAAATTTGGTGAAATTGGAAAACAGTGAAGGAGACACAAGAAGGAAAAGCTGTACTATCCATTTCTAAGAAGCTGCAAACAATGGCAGCAGGGTTTGAATTAGATTCTCGCTCTCTCTCCCTGTCCCAGCCTGATAAACACTTTACTCCTTTGGCCACCCTGACTCCATTCTTTAAAACCAACAACCTTTCTTTATCCTTCTGATTGTCATATTTCTAGAAATTATAGACTTCGTTAAGTCTTCAATCCACAATGAGCATCTTATATCACCATTCTCATTAAAACTATGGTGAAGGTAGGGCCGGCCGAGTGGCACAGTTGGTTAAGAGCTTGCTCAAGAGTGCAAATTCCGAGCAAAAGGGTCACCAGTTCAATTCCCGGCCCGAGCTGAGCTACCGCTGAGCTGCCAACAGGTGGCAGGATGGCTCAGCTAAAAAAAAAAACCATGGTGAAGGTTTGTCAAATCCTGTGTCCTATTCTTTGTTTTCACCTTCTTCTCCTAGAGTGTGACAGTGTCAGACACCCATTAACTTGAATACAACACATCATAGTTGCCTTTAACTTGAATTCTATGATATAAACTTGCCCCGCTCCAACAAGAAGTAAAAACACTAATTCAAATAATGTAGGAATGTCTTATGGTCATGACAGTGTTTTTCCTTTAACATGTCTGAAACTATCTGGTGCTCATTAAATAAATAGCAGTTTGTTCTAAAATTTGAGGACATCTTGTGTATACATTATACTTTGAATGTTTGAAGTTTTTTACAATAAAAAGTAGAGAAAAGAACATGAAAAACTCCATGTACTCATCTCTCCATCTTCAAGTATTAGCTTGGAGATGCCCAACCTTTTGCATCTGTGCCTCTCCCTATATTAGGGGTTCAGTGTGAGGGGTTCAGTGTGAACGTCCCAGACACACACCCAAGCCGGCAGCTGGGTACTATTTTCTACACTCTCTTTCACAGCACGCCTTGGGTCTCATCACGCCCCCTCCTCCAGCCTGATGCAGACCAAGCAAGGGCTGTGTGACAAGAATAAGGGTCAAAACTGAGAGCCACATACAGTGCCCAATTTTTTTTAGAGGCAGAACACATGTAAAGTTAAAAAATGAAACCTAAGCATTGTGTGGTGAAAGCATAAATATATTTTTAAAAGCCTTTTATGGGAACGATCAGCCTGCAGCAGAAACACTGCAGAGAACCTGCAAAGCAGGTACTGTGCATGGAAAAGGACCTAGGGTGCTCTAGAAGAAACAACTGCTGGAATCAAAAGGCTACTTTTAGTTTTCCTGTTGTGTATTTCATATTTTGAAAGAAATTCTATTTTAAATTTACAGAGATGGTAACAAAATTATAGAGTTTCATAATGGCCAGAGAGAACTACATACTATCCAGTTCAAGAGACGGGAATACCCAGATGGCACCGTTAAAACTGTCTATGCAAATGGCCATCAGGAAACAAAATACACCTCTGGTCGCGTAAGAGTTAAAGACAAGGACGGTAATATTCTCATGGACACGAAAGTGTAATGTTTGTGTGAGATTAATCATGAAACAACACTAACTTGATTGTCTTGTTAAAAAATGTACATTTCTTGTTGACTGTGGTTTAATTTATACAATACTCTCTGTGTGTGTGTGTGTGTGTAAATGGAAAAGATTATGTTTGGACTAGAAAATAAAATTTATAGCTTTTTATAATCTTTGAAACACACGTTTCATTTTTTAATTCACCTACGCTGTCTTTCTACAGTTAGACTAAAGAAGGCATTATTAAAGCACTGTTATAAGCTTTAAAAATATAAGTGGGCACTTTTATTGTTTGGACATCCTTATAAAATGCAAATACAAGAAACGCAGTATTGCACAGATTTCCTACCAGACATCAGCCATAGAACAAGGACTCACACAGAAAGTTTACTCAGAGAGTAAGAATTTCTCCAGTCAAAATACACTAGGTTTAATTAGTACTAAAATTAAAGCATCTTATTTATAATTGTAATAGAATGGGAAGTTAATGAGTGAATACAAAAAGTCAAACAGTAAAAGAAGTTCATTCTATGAGTACAGAAAACTCAGGAGAAAGCAGTTACAATGACAATGAGGGTGACACTATAATTGGTCAAAATGTAATACTTAACACTTGACAGTGGGGGGACACTGGGAGGCATAAAAATAACTAGTTGGTGTTAACTGATGGGCCACAGGTACCTTGATGTTATAACCTGTAAGATGGTTAGCTGACAGAAGCAAGTCACCTACAAGTAAATTTATATAATTCTAGGTGGGCCCGATCATTTACTTCAACATGACAATAGTGTTGTCAATGATTCAATTTCTCAGAAAAGCTAAATGTATGAATTTCAGGCGATTTAAGAACTGAATGTGAAAAAAGTTTAAAACTTTACAAAGAAAATAGTTATATATATTACTTGTAACAGAAAAAAATGGTAACCTCAGTATCTAGCAACAGAATAAATTATGAGCAGATGGATATAATGGAAACTAAACTAGAGCTATGCATACCAATACGGATAAACAGTGGAAACAAAAAGAAGTAATTGTTTGACACTGCACATATTTAAAAATACAAGCAACGCCTCTTATTTCTGGATGCATTCGGAGACAGTAAAATTATAGACACACAACAGAGTGAGAAACAGCAGCTTCACAGTGTGTTCACCTCTGGGGAAGGGGGTACTGGTGCCTACAACTGTACTGATAATGTCATATTTCTTAAGCTGACAGATGGACATGTTTTCAAATGAACTAAAATGGTTATTTTTATGGGTCTAGAATACTTCATTTCAAAATTATAGGCCGGCTGACTGGCGTGCTGGTTAAGAGCTGGCTTGGGACGCCAGAGGGTCCTGGTTCGGATCCCACATATGAGGGCCAGTGACACTGCCCTCCACAGCTAAGATGCTGAACAACATCTCAACCTGGAGCTGGGCTGCTGTGAGTCACCGGCGACGGTGTAGGCTGCAGCCCCTGCTGCAGTGGGTTGCCATGGGCGACCGTATGTAGCCAGCAGCCAGCGTGAGCAGCCAGCAGCTGCCGTGAGTGGCCGTCCCGAAGCCGGCGACTGATATGCCTCACCCAGGAAGAGCACAATGATGGTGCCAACTTGGGCCAGTGAAGCAACGACCTAAGAACAAAAGGACAGCAACTTGTCTGTTCCCCTTCCCCCAATTCCCCAATAAAAATCTTAAAAATATATATAAAATTATAGCAAAACAAAGTATTTGAAAGCAAATATTTATTAACTATTTTTCAAACAATTCCTAACATGCAAGGAACAAAAAGGGGGCCAGCATTACTGCAGAACAAGTCAAGAAAAATCAGCCCGAAAGTCTGCATACAACAGAAAACGTGCTTCTGGCCTTCTAGATGCCAAGCTGTGTATACAATGAAAAACAAAAAGTGTTATTTTAAACTTCTGTTTAATGTTAATGTTCAAATCTAGTTAGTGAATGAAGCCTGTGACTTGATGTGAGTGGACAAAGAGTGAGCTGGTTACCCAAGTCCCCGAGTGACTGACTGGGACACTGGCCTCCAGCCATGGGGCCCAGTGCTGGCACCACCTCTGCTCCACCCCATGGTCACCTGTACTACATACAGTCGTGAGCCAGGCCAAGCATTCTCACACATGGGAGCCTCTGATACTCAGTAGGTGACAAGGGCCTATGAAGAAGAAATCTAGGAGAGAGGCTTGTTGAGCCTTGTCATTCCTTCGAGAAATCAAGGAAACTCTAAAGGCGCCTTTTCTGGGCAATTTAGCATTAATATCTGCTTGTATTAGTTATGTGCCTTATGCTGACTCGAATGGTGACCCAAGAAGTCATACTTACATCACTCATCTCGGTCTGCGAGCCCCATTTCTATTAACGACATATGAACTGGATACTGTTCATCTTCGTATAATGTCACTATTTGTTCTGGAGCTTGTGCCTAAAATTAAGATACACAGTTGTCAAGAAAACACAGTAACATCTGGGCTGCCTTTTCCCTCCTGCCTCTGGCATTCTCCAAGTTTATTTATAATTTCATACTCTGTACTTTCAAAAGGCATGGGAGGGTTTTCTGCAAAATCCCATTCTTTCCATCCTTCTATTGGGTTGTTGGAAAATTCATGACGTATTTTTTCTGGTTTAAGTTGCAAAAACGTGTCATGATTTTTCCAACAACCCCAATACTTTATTTAAAATGTAACTCCTCTCCAGAATTTTCCTAGGTTGAGCCAGGGGGTGTCCACGCTACTATCGCTGTTAAAATATTTATATTCTACACATAAAGCATTATACTTGTTACAGAAACTGACCATGTTATTCACAGAAGTGAATAAATGTCTATCTTTATGAACACTTCCCTTGTCTGGTCTGTTTTCATGGGCTTCCTGAGAGAAACCTTGCACAAACCATTTACACCACTCTGCACACATAGGAGCATATTACTAAATACAGAGGGTTTCAAAAATGCACTTCCTAGTAACAGCATTTTTGTCAAGAGCCAAATCCATCAGGAATCCCAAAATCTTAGGTCCCCAAGTCAGGGCAGATTGGGTGGAAACAGTGGGAAAGACTCAGGTGAACCGAAAAGTCGGTTTCCGTTTAAGGGGCTGTTGCCACACTTCTAGCTGACTGGCAATCAGAAGGGAGAGCGAGGATTCCTACATTTTATAACTGACCGGAAGTCAGAAGTACAGACTTGGCAAACTGTTCCAGTTTTAAAATACTGCAGGCTATAGAACATAGGTGTAGCCGGATTCTGCCCCTGCGTTCCCCTTTGTGATGCGCCAGCCTCTAAAGAAGACGACGTATTTGTATTTACACTAAACATCTTAAGTTTTGTATTTTGATGCAGATTCTACTGCACTAAAGTCAAAATGAGTAGAGTTATGATATCGGTGTAACTCAAGCCTTTCTACAGCTCTGACCAAACTGCCATTCTGGTCTTTCCTACTCCCCTTCTGGGATGCCCACCCCACTTCCTCTCTCCTTCACTGGAGGCAGGGGTGCCTACTAAGGAGCAGCTCCAATACCGCATCCTGACCTCTCCGGGAGGAAGGGGTCACTCCTGCTTCTTTACCCCTCCCCCCAGGTCACCAAGCCCTCTCTTATGGACTGACTTCATTCTATCGATACCTCCGTAATGAGTGGTTTACATGTTTCCCACATTGACTTGTAAGTTCTTTGATTAAAGGACACTCATCTTGAACACTTTGATCTCAGTCATGACATCAGTGACATTTTTCATCACTGTTAAATATACTCATAAACTAAGACATCTGAACAAGTCTTACAATTAACCCTACACGTCCACAGCTTTGTGTACTGCAGTGCGCACCCTGGCAGACAAGACTCACCATGGTAGAAGCATAGAGCTGCTTCCCCTGCAGACAGTCGATCAGTGCCCACAGCGCCTCCATGCTCCATTCGGGGCAGTACGGTATCCTTGTCTTTCCACGGTCTCGTAAGGGGGGTTTGAACCCCGCCAACAGAACCTTTATGGCTCGGGCTGGATACTGCATAAGGTGAGGAGGAATTTGATGTAGTCTGTCAAAAAGAAATTCTTAAATGTTCAGAATGCTACAATTAAAATTCTTTTAATAGCTAAAACTGTATAACATGGGAAAAGTTTATGACATTGGATTTGGCAATGATTTCTTAGATGACACTAAAAGCACAGGCAACAAGAGAAAAAAAAATTGGACTACATCAAATTAAAAACTGCTGGGCTGGCCGAGTGGTGCGATGGTTAAGAACTTGCTTGGGATGCCAGAGGGCCCCGGTTCGGATCCCACATATGAGGGTCAGTGACACTGCCCTCCACAGCTAAGATGCTGAACGGCAGCTCAACCTGGAGCTGGGCTGCCGTGAGTCGCCGGCAATGGCGTAGGCTGCAGCCCCTGCTGCAGTGGGTTGCCATGGGCTACCGTGTGTAGCCAGCAGCCAGTGTGAGTGGCCGTCCGGAAGCCGGCGACTGATCTGCCTCACCCGGGAAGAGCGCAATGATGGTGCCAACTTGGGCCAGTGAAGCAACGTCCTCCACAACTAGACTGAAGAACAAAAGGACAGCAACTTGTCTGTTCCCCTTCCCCCAATTCCCCAGTGCTGTTCCCATCCCACTATTCCCTAATAAAAATCTTTAAAAAAAGTGATGTTTCCTCCAAATACTAAAAATAGAATGAGCACATGATCAAGCAATTCCACCTCTAAATATATACCCAAAGGACCTGAAAGATACCTGTACCCCCAAGATCATAGCAGCATTATCCATGATCACCAAAAGGTGGAAACAACCCAGGTGTCCATCGATGGATGAATGGATACACAAAATGTGGTCTATCCATATAATGGAATACCACTCAGTCTTTAAAAGGAAGGAAATTCTGATATATGCTACAACAAGGATGAACCTTGAGAACACTAGGCTAAGTGAAATAAGCCAGTCCCAAAAATCAAATACTTAATAATTAATTATAATAATTATAATTAATAATAATTAGATTCGTAATTCAACTAAGTTGACTTTTTTTTCACCTGTTTATTGTCAGCTTTTCAGTCGATCCGTAATCAACAAATTGTACGAGGACAGCTAAAGGACTGAATTCTTTAATGGAGACAATCTTTGCTCTGTACCATAAGCCATCATCATATTCTGCAAGGCAAGGCATTTCTGGAAAGACAGAAAAAGGGAAACGTCACACTGCACTTCATTTTAATTTTAAATAGTGAAGTACAAAGCAAATGTAATCACCATGTACCCAGTGCCCAGATGCACGCACTCAGCAGGTGGCCATGTTGGCTGTGCTCTCCTCTGTTCGGACTCTGCAAACCTTGGAAAGGCTCCCCCCGACACACACCCCTCCACTATCCCCCGTGCAGCCGCTGCCCAGGGCTTAGATCACCCCACAGCCCCCAGTTCTGTACTCCCAAGTCTCTTCACTGGGGCCATCATCTTCTACAAAGGATAATGACACTTTCTGCTATTCAAACTTGTCCTCCAACCCATTCTCTAACGCCACCTAGAATGCAGTCAATTCAGTCACATTGCTCTCTTGTTTAAAACCCTTCAATGGCATCTTAAGTTCTCAGAAGTGCTATTTCTAGGGTTTGCATAATCTACTCCCAACCAGCTCCTGCCACATATCCTCCATGTGTCACCTCAACACAATTACTTCAGCATGTGGCTGTCCGCATATCTACAATATTCCCCTGTGCTCTTCTTGTGATAAACATCTCTTCTGTCAAAGATCAGTTCCAACCTTTATAAACCCGGGCTCCTAGCCATGCTTCCTGTGACCAGATGGCATCATGCACACACTTGAATGGGAGCAGTTATCCTCACACTGAACTTGGGTTACACGTCCCTTCTCTGCTACCGCACTGGCTCTTATGTATTCCCAGCATGGTACATGATACGAGCATTTGCTCAGTAAAAAGTCTGCTAATGAATGCAAGACCTGAGTAAAATTGTGGAGAAATAAGTATTACGGTCTTCCTTTCCCTTCGTACACTTTTAGATTTTAGCATCTTCTCTACTTCCACCTCTCCCTTAATCATATTCTCTTCTACAAAATTTCCAAAAAGAAAAGTAGTTGTGGGCAAGCGTCATTTAAATACTACATGACGCTAATGTAGAGCCTTTTATTTCAAATGGTTTTTAATGGAGTTGTAAATAATTTGAGTACATAGAGGGTATCCGGAGAACAGTAAGAATCTCATTTATAGAACTGTCTGCATAGCAAACGACTGACCGAACCACTGCTGCCAGGCCCTTCTGACCTTTACCATTCCAGCTTCAGAACCATGGCTAGAGTTTCACCTCAAAATGGAACTTAAAAAAACTGATCTAGTTGTCATGTTATTTTAAATCCACAAAGCAACTCCTTCTATATAAATTCCTTGTTCAAATGTACATCTTTAATAGGAACTTGTCTATGAATTGACTGGTACATATGCATACTTAAGCTTCTATTGAAGAATAAAGTACCTACAGCAAAATACAGTAAGTCCCCAACTTACGAACATTTGAGTTGTGAACTTTCACAGATACGAATGGACCTCGTGTTTCGAACATTCGTAGATGCGAACAAATGTCAGAAGTAGCTCACATGTCTGCCGGACATTGTCACAGTTGTGCTGCTGTGTGCTTACTGTACAGTGCAATAGTGTACAGTAGTACAGTGCTCAATCAGAGCCCAGGATGTCCGGAAGCAAGAGGAAAAGCAGTGGTGATGTGGAGGGGACTGCTAGGAAGAGCACAGCAATAACCATGGAAACAAACTTTGTCAGACTTACGAACAAATCCAACTTAGGAACCTTTTCCCCAAATGGAACTCGTTCATAAGTCGGGGACTTACTGTACACAAATACTTGAGTTACCACATTACACAGACTGTGTGACTTCCCAAGACAAGAACACAATGAGTAAAGACTTGTTTCTTCCTCATTGTCTGAGTTTACAAAAGGAAAAAATCCTAACAAGTTTATTCTTTTCACTCATTCAACAAATATTTACGAGCACCTGCTTGTGCACGGTGCCCTAATTGCTGATGACAGCAGTACAGATCCGGGTCTCACCAAGGAGAAGAGGCCAGTGGGCGGGTGGCAGGCTGCACTACCTCACGTAGGTCAGGGAAGGCCTGCAACAGGGGTTAGCTGCGCGGAGGCCTGAACTGTGCTCCCGCCTGGGGTAAGGGAACCACATGGGCCGTTTGTCAGCCAAACATGAGTCACGGAGTAAAATCAGGTACATTAGGCTGTTTTCTTCTGCTTTTTCATATCGTCTGTTATGTGCCAAACACCCCAAATAAACACATCTGTCTATATCACATACACCACTCTTGGCATTTGGGAACTGTCGACACCAGTACCAAGATGTACTTTCCTCACAGGAGAATCACATGTTATTTCATAAAGATGGGTAAGAATAAACCATAAAGAAAAAAGAGCCGGATTTGACTTAGCCTGACAGGACAGGACACCATCAGAATTCCCCTGTCCCCACTCTAAAATTATCAGTTTAGCTGGCTTGTAATTAAAGTTACTGCCATTTAGGTCTGAATAACAATTCTCACAACTTGAGCCAGTGGCAAAACCTCAAGGTTAGAAAAATCATCTTGACGTACTTTCCAATGAGCCTGACTTCTGGAAAGTGAAAGTGCCCCAAGGCAGTTACTTACCCTCTGCTAGTTCTCTGAGAAAAAGGGAAGGGCCCGCGACAGCATCTCAAGGACTCCGAGATGGCGTACAAACGTCAGAGGTAACCTGATCGCATCAGCCCTTTCAAACCAAGTAGGTACCTGTTCTAAAGTCCGTCAGGGGCATGAAGGTTTTCACATTTGTACTGAACCTCCGCAGGGCTTCGTTGAGGCTCTCAGATTCAGACTCCCAGCTGACTCCACTGTTGTCTGTGTCACTATGCTGGTTACACATATTTTCTACAGAATCAAGGCAAATATACACCTATGTGGGGGGAAGGACAGGAGAAAACTTTCAAATTCTGTAATTTATTTTTTAAAAGATTTTTTTGGGGCATTGGGGAGGGGAAGCAGCCAAGTTGTTGTTCTTCAATCTTCGTTGTGGAGGGCGCCAGTCGCCATCTGGCTTCCTGTCGGCAGCTCATGGCCTCTAAGCTCAAGGTGCTGAGTTCAGTCTTAGTTGCGGGCAGGCATAGCCCACCATCAAACAGGCAGTCTTGTTGTTAGGAGCACGTGCTCTCACCAGCTGAGCCATCCTGTCACCTGTTGGCAGCTCAGCAACAGCTCAGCTCAGGCGCAGCATCACTGGCCCATGTGGGAATCGAACCAGTGGCCCTGTTGCTCAGAGCTTGTGCTCTTAAGCCAACTTTTAACCAACTGAGCCATTTGGCCGGCCCTCACATTCTGTAATTTTTAATATCAATTGATATGGATAAAATCATTGCAGTAGACAGCCTCCAATAATGGCCCCAATGAGCCCTTGTAGAGCTCCTCTCCCATGTCATACCAGAGTTGACCTTTGTGGCCAAAAGGACATGACAGGGGTGGCTGGTTAGCTCAGTTGGTAAAAGCACAGTGCTCATAATACCAAGATTGCCGGTTCAATCCCACATGGGCCAGTGAGCTGCGCCCTCCACAACTATATTGAAACAACTACTTGACTTGAAGCTGATAGGTTCTAGAAAAACACAGTTCCTCAATTAAAAAAAAAAAAGACATGACAAAGTGATGGCATGTGACTGCAGAGATGGTGGTACTCTGGCACTGACTGCTCTACAGGAAGGCCCATGGAGAGGTCCACAGGACATGGAACTGAGCCTCCCAGGCAGCATCGAGTCAGTCTTTGTGGAAGCGGACCCTGCAGTGCTGCCGCCCAACCCCCCCAACATCTTGACTGTGACCTTATGAAAGACCCTGAGCCAGTACTTAATAAGCAGCTCCTGGGTTCCTGACTCTCAGCGGCTAAATTTGGGGTAATTTGTTAGGCAGCAATAAATAACACAAAAAAATCACTATAAAAACCAACAACAGTTGTACACTACTATGCCGTCTGATGAAATTATAGAGTAATTCTGCCCTTGCCTGTGAAAGAATGGTTTACTGTGTAAAACAGCTGAAGGAACTCTTGGGCTACTTTATTTGTCAAGTCTTTATTTCTTGTTAGCCAATAACTTTTTCTTTAATGTACTTCATTGTTTATTGAGTGCCTGCTATATATCAGGCAGTATTCTAGGTTCTGGAGCTGTATTAGGGACTAAAACAGACAAAAATCACTTCACGGAGTGACATTTTAGTAGAAAAAAGCCGACACACATCCTAAGAAAGTGGCAGAGAGTGTAAGAAGGTGGGTGATCAGTGGCGTGAAAAAAATACAGAGCAGGGTCAAGAGCATCTAGCGTGCATACAGGAGGAGAGGGGAATGAGATGTTTAAGACCTCACAGGCAGAACTAGGTCCAGTTTAAAAATCTAAATATTTGATATAAACATAACTAAAGCAACAAATCGCTGGGAAAACCAGCAAGTGCTTAAGAAACACTTGCCTTGTAAGTATAAACAAATGTCTGAACAGGGAATTGTAGGGCAGACAAACCAGAGGTCACTAATTTTCAATTACTTAAAAATCAGTAAGATGGAAATGTGAAGTCAATGCTAAAGGTTAGGACCAAGATTGCTTGTTATGTTTCTAACCAACAACGAATCATGTAAATTACACACCTCATTAGGTGAGACCACGTGCTTAACTTGAACAGCATAGAGTTCTTCTGGGGGAGGCAGAGATGAAGACAGATATGGTGGTAAAATAGGGGTCTCTGTTTCAGACAAAAGCAATTCCTAAAACACCACAAATAGATTCAAATTTCAGAATGATTACTGCAGAAATCCAGTACACATTATCCAAATTCATTATGGTGCAATGTACGTTCAATTAGCAGAAAGCATGCTCTCTTAGACACTGAACACCACCACTGTTGTAGGACCAAAATGTCAACAAAAGCTCTTTGAAATTCTTTTGTCACCCCAATTAAAAATAGTGTGTAAAAAACCCCACATGAATGTTTATTTATGGGTACATATTTACGCATTTTACACAAAGTTCTGGAAGAATGGTCAACAAATATGCCACTGCCTAGTAGGACTGGGTGTTTGGACTTTTTTCCTTTTCCCATTTCTGTAGTATTTAGTTTGACAATAGTATGTACTTTATAATAAAAACTAAAATGGTATGTGAAATCCTCAAAGATTTACCGTATTTCCCCATGTATAAGACCCATTCTTTTTCGAAAAATTTGGGGTCTAAAAACTGGGTGCATCTTATACAGTGGTTGCAGGTTTTTTTTTACTTGCATTTCCCGCTTTTTCACGCTTGTTGTCTTTGTGCTCATTGTTTCGCACTTGTAACCGGTATATTACGGTAGGTTACGTTTTGCCATGTTCTGCCCAGAAATGGCTCAGAAAAGATTTTCATACAGTGCTGAATTCAAGTTAAAAGTGATTCAGTTTGCAAAAGTGAATGGAAATCATGCTGCTGAACATAAGTTTGGTCCTTCTCCAACGGAGAAAACAATCCAAGACAAGCTACAGGAAGAAAAAAACCCTACTGAAAACGCCATGGCAGAAGGCCATGAGAGGCAAGTCAGCAAAATGGCCAGATTTAGAGAGGGAATTGAAGATATGGATTGAAGAGCAAAGGGCAATTGGAATTCCTGTGTCCACAAAGATGGTTCAGCATGAGGCAAGAAGAGTTGCTGATGAAAAAGAAGTTACTGATTTCAAAAGGAGGCCAAATCGGTGCTTCAGGTTCATGAAACAGAATGGACTAAGCATGCGTACATGCACCAGACTTGCCCAAAAGATGCCTGAAAGCTATGAGCAGAAGGTCCTTGAATTTCATCATTTTGTCATTCAATGTCGGAAGACACATCAGTTTGAGTTGGACAGATTGCAAATATGGATGAAGTCCCCCTTCAATCTGATGTCCCAAGGAACAGAACTGTTGATAAGGAGGGCGTGAAAACTGTGACTGTGAAGACAAGTGGAAATGAAAAGAGCCATTATACAGTTGTTCTAGCTTGTTGTGCCGATGGAACCAAGCTGCCGCCTATGCTGATTTCCAAATGCAAAACAATGCCAAAAGACATTCCTCGAGGAGTGATTGTCCACGTTCATGACAAGGGTTGGATGGATCAGGATGGGATAAAGATCTGGTTTGAGAAAGTTTGGAGAGGAGACCAGGTGGGCTCTTACGCAGACCTGCCCTATTGGTGCTTGATCAGCTCAGGGCACACATAACAAAAAACACAAAGAAGATTGCTGCAGAGCAAAAAACAAAACTTGCCATCATACCTGGAGGCTTGACATTACAGCTCCAACCACTTGATGTCAGCATTAACAAACCCTTCAAAGCTGCCATGAGAGACGAATGGAACCAATGGATGAAGTCTTCTGGGGACAATTTGACACCAGCAGGAAGAGTGAAGAAACCAACTATAGGAGAAGTTTGTACCTGGGTGAAAAGATCCTGGGATAATATCAAGATTGAGATCGTTGTCAAGTCATTTAAGAAGTGTGGCATTTCAAATGCCATAAATGGAACTGAGGACGAAGCAATATATGAAGACAGTGATTTGTTAATAGACACAGATGAGGACAAGCTAATGGTTGGGAATTTTGACAGTGAGGAGGAGTTGTGTGAATTTTATGATGAATAAAGCTTGAGTTCAATAACTTTATGTAATACTTTTTTTTTCAAATTTCGGGCCCCCAAATTAAGGTGTGTCTTATACATGGGAGGGTCTTATACAAGGCAAAATACAGTAATTAAGTTAAAATAATAAAAGAGTGCTCTCCTAAGCTCTATAAAAGCATAAGGATTAATAAAGAGTTATGTGATTCCCAGAAGGATCACAGCAGTTAGCAGTTGTTAAAAGCACATATATACAAGTGTTGGTGGTTTTCCTTTTTGAAAATTAAAAAAAAAATTCTCGAATACAGTAATAAGCATAAGAAGTGAAATCATTACATTTAACTTGTAGATTAATTTATCACTATTTAACATCCAAACTGGTGATAAAATAAAATATATCTGAACCACTCAGTAGAGTTCAGAAAAAGGGACTACAAGTGACTGCCCCACTGTTGAATTGTAGTGATTTGTTACAAAGCACTAGACAACAAGCATATGATATTTTTATAATCGTAGGAAATTCTACTTATGACAAAATGTTTACTTATTAAAACTCTTACTTTCTACACCAAAAAAGCACAAGTGACAAAAGGGAAAACAGATAAATTGGACTCATCACACTTAAAAACTGTTGGTGCTTCAAAGGACACCATGAAGAAAGTGAAAAGACAACCCACAGAACAGAAGAAAATATTTTCAAATCACCTATGTGATCAAGGACTAGTATACAGACTATATAAAGATTATATTACAATTCAATAAAAACACAACCCAGCTAAAAATGGACAGAGCCCTTTTTCATTCTTTTTTATTTTCTATTTTTTCCAGTTTTATGGATATAATTGATATATAACACTTTATTATTCCCAGGTAATTTGATATATTATATATACATACTGTGAAATGATCACTATAAGTTTAGTTAACATCAATTGCCTCACTTTAGAAAAACTTTTCTTCTGATGATGAAAACATTTAAGATTTATTCCTTTTGCAACTTTCAAATATACAATACAGCATGTTAACTATTGTTACCATATTGTAAATTACAACTCCGGGACTTAATTATAACTTTAAGCTTGTACCTTTTGACCGCATTCACCAATTTCCCCACCTCCAACCTTCCCGTTTCCTGCAACCACCAATCTGTTCGCTGTCTCTACTAGTTCAGTTTTTTTAGATTCCACATATTAGTGAGACTGTACAGTACACATCTTTCTGTGTCTGACTTACTTCACAGCATGCCTTTAAGGTCTGCTCATGTTGTCACAAATGGTAGGATTTCTTTTTTTTTTTTT